TCCTTATGCAACAACTACTGAAGACGGTGTGTATGACATGGGACACCACATTTTCAGAAGAACTCTTTATTTTTACTGCACACAGTGTAAACTCATTTCTGAGCCGGGAAACTGCCTTACTGTTAGACTTTTCACGTGACCACAGTCTCTGCTTGGTCCTGAGCATTGCTGGACATGCTTTTGTGCAATGTGCACAGGGTCAAAACTAGATCCCGCCCACTGTGTTCAGTCCTGTCTGCTAGAGAATATGCTTAGTGCATTAGAAAGCAAAGTTTTCAAAATCTGCTCCACCAATGATATGCCAAATTTTGCATCCCTAATTATTATATCAGATAATTATATACAAAACTTTGAATTGAAAGTATACATAATAATGCCCAATACTTAGATATCTAATCATTAAGTGATTGTGGACTCCACCAAGCATTTACTGGTGGTGAATCAAACACTGTCAATTAAAATGCATGCCCTTGGGAGATTCACCCATGTTTGCTGAGTATCAGATTCACTGCTTTATAAAAATGCATCATTCTCTGTGTGAGTATGGAACCCTCTAATAGGTAGTTTCCATTGGTGGCATAAGATGTAAAAAAAAATTTGCTTTTTTTTTCAATAAGGAATGTGTCCTCTTATTGTAGCAGCTCATAATTATCAATCAAAATGTATCTTGTAATTGTCTGGTTGCAGCAGAGTGTGGGCTACATGTGTGCTGTGGGTTAGCACTGAAACACAATAACTGTATTTGTTGGCCACAAGTGTTCTTCAGTCAAGATCAGAGCAGGGTCTCATAGAGCTGCAGCCTAGTAATGGTTGTTACCTCTGTCACTCTTTCTACTGTACTCTCTATAATGGGGGTAGGCAACCTTAAAAAGGTGAAGATCTACCTGAACAACATGAGAGAAATCAAAGATCACCGGATAGAGCGTTGCCACCTCACACCTGATTTAAACCTCTAATTGCTGCACTACCGTGTTGTAGTCATGTGCTTGCTGCACTTATGGGTGTGCCCTTAGTTGCATTGGGCAGCGGCACCCTTAGGGCTTGTTCACAGGTAAAGTTGGGGGGGGGGGGGGTAGTGAAACCCTGTAGTTGAGTCATGGCAGTCAAAGGTTTACACATAACACAGCGGGACTTAAACCCCCTTCTGCTTTTGATGGGTGCTACCACCTGCCAGTCGTTATACATTCAAGTAAATGAGGCCACTCTGCAAACGCCCCATACTGCATGGGGGTCCAAGGGCATAGATTCACATGGATTTAAAGAGGAATTCCGGGTATGGATATTTTACACATAAATTACATTAGCACAGCTTGGACCAGTGTAACTATACATGTACCATACCATGTAAATGCAAAGTTTTCTGTGAATGGCACCTGTGCTGAGCTGCAGACCTCCTGTGTTTAGAATGCAGCAGGCCAGTCGCTCAGCATGGGACCTGGAAGCAAGTGGAGCTCATTGGAGTAGCTGGTCTATTTCAGTGATTTCCAGCTTCCAGGGGCATCGGCCAGGTATGGCATGTACATAGTTACATCCAAGCTGAATGTAACTATGGAGAAAATATCCATACATGGAATTCCTATTTAATTTTATCAGATACCTCATCATATTGATGTGTCAATATATTCAATAATAATTCTTTTTTTTTTGTTTAATATTCAATATTAATTTGTTAAATGTATGTATTTAATGAAGATAGTGTAGGTACCTAAAGTATACAGCAGGACAATGTAAAGTATACAGCAGAAAAAACAAGAAAAAGAACAAGAACAAGAAACAAAAAAGAAGAGCGCACAACAGCCTTGTGCATTACCTTGATAGATACTTTTATTAAGTGTTAACCCTTTGAAAACCAAGTTGTCCCATGTTTTTAATTGCCTGTACCATCTGATTAAGAACTTAAAATACTTTTTTTTTTTTGGTTTGAGTCAAAATATTAGTTCTTATCAACAAATGGATCTAGCTTTTTGCCAATTATTTCATGAAATGGCTTAGTTACAGCAACTGAAGTGTACGAACTTTAAAAACAAAAAATTGATTCTTTGGCGTTCCGTAATCTTATGGTCCTCAAAGTTAAAACAGAGGTATACTCACAAATAGCTAGAAATACCAAGCTCTTCAATAACAACAATGATCCATATTGCCTGTTGCATTGCACAGATTCCAGTCTAAGGAAGACACCTCCTGGACCTATACGGCTGACATATTTTGAGGAAGTCCACTCTTCCTCAGAGCCAACTTGAATGAAAGTATCTATAAAAATAATGATCAAGGCTGGTGCGCCCTTTTGTTTTGTTTTGTCAACATTTTAATTTTGGCTCTCCCAGTTCTACGAGGGCTACAAAGTTTTGCAAACACACATACAGGGGTTAGAAAAAAAATGGAAACACTACATGATTTCCAGGTGTGAAAGTGACAACATGTTTTGTGTTGAAACCAGAGGTGATGTAACATTCTTTTGCTTCCGCTGTGTGATGAGACACCTAGCTAACAGGTGGGAAGCCTCACTTTCATCATTCACTGCGTAATACATAGTCATGCTAATGCTTACTGCTTCAAAGAGAGCAAATTGTTGGTGCCCGCTTAGCTGGTGCCTCTGTGACTGAAGTTGCCAATTTATTTGTGGTGTAAAGAGGTACAGCATCAAAGATTATTAGGTACAGTTTTCATTAAAGCATCATCTGCTGCAAAAGTGACTGCAGAGCTCAATCTCAGTCTTCAAGGGACTGAGATTGAGCTCTGCAGTCACTTTTGCAGCAGTTGTTTTCTTATTCCAGGTCACAAGCCTGTGCAATGTCCTTTTGTCTCTTTCGGGCAGCGGACCATGCCGACCGCGCTTGTTTGTCAAATGACGTTTTCTGTATATTCTGCCCTATCCTTTGATACTGTGCCTTGCAACACTGCAAATAAATTGGCAACTTCAGTCACAGAGTCACAGAAGAACCAGCTAAGCGGGCACCAAAAATTGGTCCAGTCAGCAGGATGGTGATGCAGAAAGGACACTACTGTTTTCTTTATCTTAAAGTGGTGTCATTCACCTGGTTGTGCTGTGTGGCAAGGTTGTGTAAATCTGTGGACTGGATTGGGCAGAAATAGGTATTGTGAAAAAGCTCTCATTTATGTACACTCTCCCGGTCACTTTACTAGGTACACCTTGCTAGTGCCAAGAAACTATCCCCCACACCAGGGGTGGACTGACCATTTGGAAACTCGGGCACTGCCCGAGGGCCCGGGGTCAGTAGGGGGCCCCATGAGATGCCTCTGGTACCTTTTTCATAGGCTTTTTTGAGTTTGGGCAAGGACACAGGGGCCCCATGATCCCCTATTGCCCGGGGGCCCCATGAGTTGTTAGTCTGCCCCTGCCCCACACCATTACACCACCACCACCAGCCTGAACCATTGATACAAGGCAAGATGGGTCCATGCTTTCATGTTGTTTATGCCAAATTATGACCTACCATCTGAATGTCGCAGGTGAACAAGCCTGCCCATTCTCCTCTGACCTCAAGAAGGCAGTTTTGTCCACACACCTGCTGCAAACTGGATATTTTTTGACCATTCTCTGTAAACCCTAGAGATGGTTGTGCGTGAAGATCCCAGTAGATCAGCAGTTTTGTAAATACTCAGACCAGCCCATCTGGCACCAACAACCATACCACATTCAAAGTCACTTAAATCCCCTTTCTTCCCATTCTGATGCTCAGTTTGAACTTCAGCAAGCTGTCTTCACCACGTCTACATGCCTAAATGCATCGAGTTGCTGCCATGTGATTGGCTGATTAGGAATTTGTGTTACCAAGTAATTGAACAGGTGTACCTAATAAAGTGGCCGGTGAGTGTATTTCATCTATGTATTTAGCTTTTTGCCTGCAGTTCAGCTTTTACCATCATGCTCTCTTGCCCTTGTATTTTGAACAGGACAACCCTATTTTTAAATATTATTCCCAAGTTTTCCTTATAAATATATATATATATATATATATATATATATATATATATGAAAATAAACTTTCCATTGTGATTAGTGTTTAAGTGTTTGAAAAGAACAGCAGAGATCTGCATACATTCACAGCCACCACAAAATCTACATTATACAGTGGCACATTTTCAAATATGCAGAGGAAAGTAAGAAACTCTAGATAGAATAATGTGTCAAACAGAGGTGAAAGCAAACAATAAACATAATACCCCAAGCTACTACACCAACTGTTTGGAGCTGCAAGAAAATAAAAAGAAACAGAAAGAAACAAAAAATAAAAAAAGAATATTAATGTAGTGTTTGTCTAGAGGGTAGTGGTAATTAGACAAATGTTCCATATTTTATTTTTCCTCTTGGTGGTGCTATTGCTTAATATGTAGTGTATGCTTGCGTGTTACGGACAGAGGTGTCCGGTCCATTGACTTCAGAGACTTCGTTATTTTCCCAAATTTTGGTCAAAAGAGTGCAGACCACAGCCAGGGCTTTTATTTCAGTTATTGGATTGTAAAATTAGCTGGTACCATAGGGGCTTTTTTGTAAATTGGGAAGCCTACAGGCAGTAGGCAATGATATAGTTCTTTGGAGTTCAAAACCTTTACTCAGACTCAGCAATGTAAAAGGAAAAGGCTTGGTGGTTTGGCAGGCAGAACTCACTCCTACAGCTTTATTATTACATTTTCGTAAATTCAACCATACATGCCTGGAGAACGCCAGGAGTAAAATCTCTGGCACTCTAGTGGATATTGTGCAGCCCTAGACATGCGAATGGTAACAACTTTCATGATACCTAATCATTATCAATTATCATGAAGATTAAAGCCAGAGTGATTGACTAGAGACAGCATGTCCTCTGCTTTTTTGGCAGAGCTTCCACTGGACTGTAAAGACCATCAATCAAGGGACTACAGAGCAATAGTAAATATCTATAATGAGGTGTACACATACAGGTACACACAAAGGTGTTACATATCAATGCAAGTTAAGATGACAATGCCAATTTATCTGTATTTGTTTATCCCTACAGGGAAGTGACCCCAGGCCAGAAATACCAATACCAGGTGCAGGCTGTTACTGGGTCAGTGGCTGGAGAACCGTCACCAGTGCTGTGTCACACGCATGGTGCTCCTTTCTGTGGGGATGGAGAAGTTAATGAGTAAGTCAAAAGAGACTGATAAAGCTCAAGCTTACTTTGTTTAGGGCCCTAAAATTGGGGTTACCTTGCACATCATGACGTAATCTCACCATTTACCTCTAGTGCAAACTGGCCAGATGCTGGCCCTTTGCTTGCATTTATCAAGCCATTGGAGCACTGTTCGTCCCACTGATAAGAGGCACTATTTCTCCCACTGACGCAATTGACTATTCCTCCCACTGACGCAATTGACTACTATTCCTCCCACTGACGCAATTGATGGGGCACTATTCCTCCCACTGACGCAATTGGATGGGGCACTATTCCTCCCACTGACACAGTTGACGGGGCACTATTCCTCCACAGACATGAGAACTATTATTTCCACTGACAGCAATGATGGGGCACTATTCCTCCCACTGAAACAATTTAGGCTGCACTATTCCTCCCTGGGATACAAACGATGGGGCACTATTCCTCCCACTGAAACAATTGAGGCTGCACTATTCCTCCCTGGGATACAAACGATGGGGCACTATTCCTCCCCACTGACACCAGCAATAGGGCACTATTTCTACCACTGACAGAAATCATGGGACACTATTCCTTTTACTGACACCAACAATGGGACACTATTCCTTTTACTGACACCAACAATGGGGCACTATTCGTCCCACTGACACCAACAATGGGGCACTATTCCTCCTACTGATACCAACAATGGGGCACTTTTCCTCCCAATGACACCAAAGATGGGCTTTGGTGGGATTTCACCATTTAACTCTAGTGCAGTGGTCTCCAAATTGTGGCCAGCAGGCCAGATGTGGCCTTTTCCTTCCATTTATCAAGCCCTTGAAGCACTATTCATCCACAGACACGAGGAACTCTTACTTCCACTGACAACAATGATGGGGCACTATTCCTCCCACTGAAACAATTGAGGCTGCACTATTCCTCCCTGTGACACCAACAGCACTATTCCTCCCAATGACACCAAAGATGGGGCATTCTTCCTCTTCACACCGATCACCATGTTTGGGGAATTGTGTACAACCACCAGTGCCAGGACATTTTCTGCTTCTATTGGCCACAGTCTGGCCCCTCTCAAGTCTGAAACACAGAAGCCAGCCCTGTGTTTGGAAAGTTTGAAGACCCTTGCTCTAGTGTAACCACTGTGAAAGCTTCCTTACTTTCTAGTGTGTACTTGAAACCATGAGCATGTGGGCCATTTTTAATGCTTAACAATAAAAATCCTGTCTAAGTATGATGACCAGGAGCACTTTATGAAACATTTACCTCAGAATGAAGCCTCCAGCAACACACTGTCATTGCTGCAGAGGGTTCCATCTTAACCAGGTCCTCCTTCCTGGGTTCCTGGGCCGCGGATGCTTGAATGGCAAAGCCACGATGAACGGGTATGTCGTTCCTTCGGAGTGCATATACCTTGAACTCACCAGGTGCTGCTATCTAGAATATCTCTTAAAAACTGAACATTTAGGAGATATTCATTGTACCTTCAGATAAAGTTTTTTATAAGCTTACCTGTAGGTAAAAATTGATGCTTTACTACTACTTTAATTTCTCGACTTTACAGGTAAGTCCCATCTTGTTTCAGTTTACCAACAGCTATGTTGTACAAAGGCTTGCCTTAGCAATCCCTACATTGTAGATCCAGTTATGTAAAACACTGCACAACATAGTTGTTTCTAAATCCAAAAGGCATTTTACAATCAGATAACAATGTGCGTGGCCAGACTAAAACATGTTTTTTTTTTATCACAGGGAGTCAGGAGAGGAGTGTGATGATGGTGCGCTGCAAAATGGAGATGGCTGTTCTCAAAAGTGCCAACTGGAGCCAAATTATAAGTGCACAGGTGTGTAGTATGTTTTAGTCCCAGCAGACAAGAGAAACAAGAGATGTCATGTATTCGCCTTCTTTAAACTATATTTATTTTGGCAGGAAAACCTAGCCTCTGCTATGTTCCCAGTGCAGACAGTGTTGGTGACTTTCCTGAAGATAGCATTGGCATGTCTACCAATTGTGCTGGGCAAATAACACAGGGATACATTGATCAGTGGGCTTCTCAAGCTGTGGCTTCTCATGAAGATCCCTGGAAATGTCCAGTTTCTGTACTCATTGGAGAACCAGGACACAAGGTGACTTTAATGCATATGTGTGTGTGCTCTGGGGGAGCTTGGGGCCTATTTACATTTTTACCTATGTTCAAAGCATGTCATGTTATGTGTTTGATTGGGCTTCCTAATGCACCACAACACAACAAAATGGTGCATTACACCAGGATGTATGCTAGTATGCTGCAATGCAGGTGTGTTGTTAAGGTGCATTGGGTTGGCACTGAGAATGAACAACACAGTAGCACATCAACATACATAACATGCATTGGCACGCATTGCAGTAACATGTGTGTTAACTTGAACATTACTGCAAAGCAACAGGGTGACTCCAACATTAGTCTTTAACCACTTCATGTCTGGACACATTTACCCCCTTCCTGTCCAGGCCAATTTGCAGCTTTCAGCCCTGTCACACTTTGAATGACAATTGCGCAGTCATGCAACACTGTACCGATATGAATTTTTTTAGCATTTTTTTGAGACAGATACAACTTTATTTTGGTGGTATTTATTCACCACTGGGATTTTTATTTTTTTTTTGCTATATAAATGAAAAGTATAAAAATTTGAAAAAAAAGGTGTTTTTCTTATAAAATTTTGCAAACAAATAATTTTTCTTCATAAATCTTGGCCAAGATGAATTCATTTATCTTTTTAGTAAAACAAAATAACCAAAATTAGTTTATAACCAAAAATTATAATTTTTCAAAAAAATTTTTACATTTTTATTTTATTTTCTTATATTATTATTTATGTTTTTTTTTAACATACTATCACCCTAGCAGTACAGTGTCACCATAGTGACACTGTACTACTTGTGGGGGGTGATGAAGATTTCTTTTTTTGTTTTTTTACACTGATTGATTTTACATCCATAAAGGCTGTAAAAGCAATCATTTTCTCCTTCTCTCTGGCTGCCTTCTTGCAGCCATTGAGAAAACCGTGAGAGCTGTGATTGGTCACAGCTTGTCACATGGTACAAGGCTGTTATGAATAGTCTTGAACCATATGACCTCTGTGATCATTCACTGATTTCACTAGTAGTAAGCAATGATGTCAGGAAGTGACATGTTGCTTACTACTATTCATGTGATAACTGATTGGCCAATCATTGATCACATGATTGGGACTTCACACAGAGGTCCTGTACAGCGATCGGTGTTCAGATCAGAGTGCACCGGATCGTGGTACCACGCTCTCCCAAGGAGTGCAAACAGGCTAAAATGTCAGGCGCCGTTTGTGAACAGCAACCAGCTCCTGCATTGCTCCCGTCCAGCCGTTTATGTACATGGGCCGGACGGGAAGTGGTTAATAACTAAAGAACAGTAAAGGTGTCCATAGGTCAGGTTTCTGTTTGCTTTCCACCAGTTGCTGTAATGCTGCACTTTTAGTGATATGTAGTGTAACAATGTATATGTACTGTAATCAGGGGCGGACTGACAACTCATGGGGCCCCCGGGCAATAGGGGATCATGGGGTCCCTGTGTCCTTGCCCAAAAAGCCTATGAAAAAGGTACCAGGGGCATCTCATGGGGTCACCTACTGACCCCAGGCCCTCGGGCAGTGCCCGAGTTTCCAAATGGTCAGTCCGTCTCTGACTGTAATATGGTGATATGTGCCCAACTTATTCTACTATGTGTATAAATCCTACCACACATGTTACAATTTAAAGTGGAGTTACACTGTATCTGTGCACCACAAACCACAAACCAAAAGCGCTATTTAATTCATTTTTAACATTCAAAGCAAACTCACCCATCCATCTATGTCTCCATAGCTGTAGCCATCTTGGGTTAGGGCAGCTTGATTCATAGCATTTACTTCCTGGAATCCATCTTCCTTTAGCTCAGGCATGCAGTCAGGAGGGTGTGCTTAGCTGAGAACCCCCCTTTCCCTCCTGAAGTATCTTGGGATGTATGATATCGTTTGCCTAGGCTAGGAATGTAAGAAAAACGTTTAAAACAAGTAAATTTGATATACTTTCCTATCTATTTACTAATACTAACAGCACAAGGATGGTCAATGTTGATTGAGAGAGTGAAGTTCCAGTTTAACACTACAGCCTCCTAGATCTACCAACAACTGTATATTACCGGGGCCTAGTACAAAATGGATAAATCAGCTGAAAACCACGCAGCCTAGGGGCTGAATGTGGAAATAGACATAGCAGGTTTCTTACCAAATATTTTGTTTGTGTAAGGATATACTCTTTTTTTTATATTTTTAAGGTTTTTTACTTGGCAACCTGCATATAATTTATACTTTTATTTGATGATCTGTATAGCAAGTTTTTAGCATTTATAGTCATTTATTTATTGCTACTTTAACACAAGTTTGTATTATTTATATTTGTTTTGCAAATTTTGGTAAATTGTATCAGAATTGGAATGTAATAGCAGTAAGGATTTAGTTATAAGGTAAGAGAATGAATATAGAGAGATAATAGTACACAGGGTAATGAGAAGGTTGATAAAGACACTGCTCCAGGGGAAGTCAATTGGTGTAATTCATGGAGGCGGGGTCTACTTGGAAGTAGACGTGCAGAATGAAAAAAATTGTTTTGTTTCATATCTATTCATTAAGTTACTAATTTTGCTATGTTGCATTCCTAACAAAATTTGTTTCATTTATTTATTTTCGACTGAATTCTTATTTTTTTAAATGGATTTGAAGTATTTGAATCAAAAATATTCAAATTCATTGTGAAGAATAAATGGCTCTATTCTATTCAAATTTCAGAAGATGGCTATATTCTTTTTATTTTATTATTTTCTATTCTAATCTATTTTTTTCTATTCTATTCTTTTATATTCTATTCTCTTTTATTCTGTTCGAAATTCAGAAGACAACTATATGCTTTCTATTTTATTCTGTTTTATTTGAAATTTACATTTGGAATACGGCTATATTCTTTCTATTTTGTTCTATTCTTTTATTTTCTATTCTATTCTTTTACTTTCTTTTCTATCCTAGTCAATTTTTTTCTTTTATATTCTTTTATGTTCTATTCTGTTTTATTCTATTGTTTTTTAAATTAAAATTTTGAAAGATGGCTATATTCTTTCTGTTCTATTCTATTTTTTCTATTCCACTGCTTTATATTCTGTTCTATTCTCTTTTTTATTTTCTAGTCTATTTTTGTATTTTCTATTCTATTCTGTTTTAGTCTATTCTATTCTTTTCAAAATTTTGAAAGACAGCTATATTCTTTCTATTCTAATCAGTTTTATTTTGTTTCTGTTCCATTCTATTCTTTTGTATTCTATTCTATTCATTCTTTTCTATTATATTCCTTTATTTCCTATTCTGTTATGTTAATTTGTATTTTATTTTAAGCTATTCTTTTCTATTCTATTGTTTTAGAAATTCAAATTATGGAAGATGGCTATATTCTTTTAATTTTATTTTATTCTATTCAAAATTAGAAGTTTGGAAGATGGCTATAATCTTTCCATTTTATTCTATTCTACTTTTTTCTATTTTATTCTATTCTATTCTTTTCTAGTTTATTATTTTCTTTTCTGTTCTATACTACTCTATTCTGTTCTATTCTTTTATTTTATATTCTGTTTTTTTTCTATTCTTTTTCAAAATTCAGAAGGCGGCTATATTCTTTCGATTGCATTCTATTCTATTCTAATCTATTGTAATATATTAATTTTCTATCTATTCTATTCTTTTATTCTCTATTCTACCTGGAAATTCACACACAGCTCCCAGTGAAGGGCAGTTTTTCAGAGTATGGGTGCCAATACTGGTGCTAGGCGATTTTAGTGGTGCTAAGTGCTATGACTGATTTTAAAGTGTTACTAAACCCACAACAGTAAAATCAGTCTGTATATGCAGTAAAGCATGCTTGTTATACTCACTGTGGAACCTAAGGGGTTAATTCTTTGCATTGTGTAAAAAGGCTGTTTTATCCTTTCTTCTCTGCCCCTCCTCTTGTTGAAATGACCACCTGATACAGACTGAATCCATATTTACATGCACATGCTCAGTGTGGTGTGTATTGCTAGAGAGGCTTTTTTTTTTTTTTCTTGGGAGAGTGCATGTGATCAGCATAGGGCCAATCAGCACTGTCCAGGCAGAGGGTCAGAGGTTTCACATCCTCCTAGAGCAGAAATAAATCTTTACCTATAAGCATTAACCAGTGCTCTGCTGAAGTCACAAGACTGCTCTAACTCCTGATGAGAAAAGGTATTTAGGAGTTTATATTTACTAAAATAATTGCATTTCATGTTCTGTGTATTGTGGGAGACCAGATATAGTCAATGCAAGGTCCTGGGTTTAGTAACACTTTAATGTGAAGTAAAGTGAAGGTGATTTTGGTTCCATAAGAGGTACATATTAATTGACTGGAGGTGGAAAAGGCAGGAGGAGGTAGTAGATGAGCGATATCCCTGTTGGAGATTTAAAAAGCACGTTTGCCCTTGTCTTTAAAATAAGGGATCAAACAGGGCCTGGTGGGAGAGTCCTTTTTATTAGAGGTGACACAGAGGTGTTCTTATCACTGTAAACAGTACAAGCACTTGCCTGGTTGGATAGTTTAGGTAGGTCCTCATATTACATAGGTTTGATAAAGAAAGGGAGATTGTATGAATGGAACATGTATGGTGAGCTTTATAGCAGTAGTACAGGTGTATTAATACTATGTATTTTCAGTAGTGTTTGCTTTGTATTTTGTTTTTGGGTTTTTTTTCGCTTCTATTTCTATGTACTCGTAGATGCAGGGCAACC